GTTCGCGAACTCGTTAGAATAAATGTAGGTTTACACATTTGTATAAAATTTCATCAAAATCGGATCATTTTTGCTTGAGTTATCTTGCTAACGGACATATATATATTATATATAGTGGGGTGGGTTAGCAGCAAATTACACCATAATATTTCACATCTGGCAACCAACGCGCCCCTTTGGATTCGGATAGTACATGCGTAGACGAGTCCAAAAAGTCCGGGACACAAATTTTTCGGGCACTCTATGGGTGTTGATGACGTAATCAAAATGGCCGCCAAAGTTGTGTGACATGATTCTACATTTCCCTATATAACTCGGGTTCATATTCTAATAATGCCCTACATTTTTAGTGATTATTAATCACGAAAAAATTACCTTTCCGATTGTGTACTTTACTTCATTGTTTAGATTCATAATACTACGAATATTTATAGTTTTATTAAATATTTTGTTTTTGATCTAGATTTTTTAAAATCATTTTGCTAAGTGTCGTGGATTCCGTTACACGTAGCTGAAAACGTCTTACATACAGTTTTTTGTCAGAATATTACCTTTCTAACGGTATATATTACTTATATTTTAATACAAAAACACTGCTCAAAATTTGACATAACAATGTAGTGGTACACAGTGAGTCGTTATCACCCCGATGCAATTTATAAGAGGACCGAAAGGTAATAGCGCTATTGAGTGCTATTAAACTTTTACTTTCGTTTTAAAATTAGAGACAATAAAATTAAGTACAAGAATTAAATACCCCCGCCGCAGCAAACCTACCAACTAAGCGAATTTCCATTTGTCTGAATTCATTTTCAATTATATATATTTTAATAACATTAGCTTTAACGAGTACCTAGGTTTGCTGCTACAAGGAAACTAATTAAGTGTGTTGTTTGGTAAAATATTGATAGCTTAGTATAAAATAAATAAATTTGCCAAGTTTGATCAAAATATATCGATAAACAAGCAAACTACAACATTTTCTAATATTCTCCTTAAGAATAAAATAGGAATTTTAATTTTACAATTTTCTAAATTTTCTCCATTACCAATAACCGAACAAAAACACTTTTATATACTAAATTAATTGTTTTTTAAGCTCTTTAAAAAGGTCTAAAGAGAAATTGGGATATTTTGCGTTTTGAGGGTCAAAAGTGAGAAAAAACAATTTTTACCACGCAAAACCCCCCGTAAAGCCTCGTTCCCATGGTCCGATCGTGCTGGTTATGCTGAAACTCATTCAAGTTAAACCCGCTTTACACCTTTAAACCAAATTTCATCCAAATCGGACAAAAATTACTCAATTTGTTCCTAAACCCCCATCAATGGGTTGGATATATTTTATATATAACATAATTTATATTTATACTGATATTGATGTTTTTTTAATACTGTGCCCACAGATTTGGTCAATGGGCACTAAGGGTTAATCTGTTTGATTTAAGCCTGGATTATATATTTTTGATGTATATGATATTTATGAATTTTGATATAAAATTTAAACAATATTGTATAGAGTACACTCTTTTGTTTTAGCGAATTTCCCTATAGGGAAGTAGCTATTACCGTAGGTGGCACGGTAAGACCTAGACCAGGGACCAATTTACTTTTTCATTTTCATGTTCCCAGAGGCCAATAAACCCATTCGTTCAAATTATATATATACAGGGTGTCCCACGAAGAGGTTTAACCGTTTGATTTTATATTTCTTATCCATTCATGGACCGAACAATTTGAAACTTTACACAATTTATAAAGTACAGAAGGTTTAAAAATCTCTGTGAAAGATCTATCTCCCTAACCCTTGTAGAAACAAAATTGTGGCGTATTGAATGTTTGTATTAACTAATTATATTATTTAAATCAATTTCTTTGTTTGAAGTTCATTGTTGGTTTTGACTACTACCCTCTGTAGTGTATTCCAACTTAGGTTGGGCGTTTGTGTAGTGTTAGTTGTAATGTGTTAGTTAAGTTTTTTTCACCTGAAGACGGGATCAGATTCCAGATCCCGAAACGTTGTGTATTGTTTTTTTACATTCGTGATGGAAACTGTCCGCAATAAACCTTTGAACAACATTAAATCAATTTATTATTAATTTTTAACTAGTGATGGATAACAGTTACAATAAATTTGGACTCTACTTTAGGGTTTTCACTAGGCTATGGTATAATTTCCTGATGAAAAAGCCTTATTTCCATAGAAAGCGTTAATACAAATGCTCTACAAAACCAAAAACACTATTTTTAATGTGTTTAAAGTATCATTTTTCAGTATGCTCCGATTTTGTTTTTACAAGAGGTAGGAAGCTGAAACTTTCACAGAATATTTTTAAAATGTACTTTATAGATTGTGTAAGGTTTCAAAATGTTCGGAGCATAAATGGGCAAGTAATCTAAAATCAAACGTTTAAACCCTTCGTGGGACACCCTGTATATATATACGTCCGTGAACGCGATAACTTGAGTCATTTTTGTCCGATTTTAATGAAATTTGGTTTAAAGGTGTAAAGCGGGATAAACTTGAGTGAGTTCGCGAACCAGCACGATCGGACCATGGGAACGGGGCTTTACGGGGGGTTTTGCGTGGTAAAAATTGTTTTTTCTCACTTTTGACCCTCAAAACGCAAAATATCCCAATTTCTCTTTAGACCTTTTTAAAGAGCTTAAAAAACAATTAATTTAGTATATAAAAGTGTTGTTGTTCGGTTATTGGTAATGGAGAAAATTTAAAAAAATTGTTAATTTAAAATTCCTATGTTATTCTTATGGAGAATATTATAAAATGTTGTTGTTTGCTTGTTTATCGATATATTTTGATCAAACTTGGCAAATTTATTTATTTTATACTAAGCTATCAATATTTTACTAAAAACACACTTAATTAGTTTCCTTGTAGCAGCAAACCTAGGTACTCGTTAAAGCTAATGTTATTAAAATATTTTTAATTGAAAATGAATTCAGACAAATGGAAATTCGCTTAGTTGGTAGGTTTGCTGCGGCGGGGGTATTTAATTCTTGTACTTAATTTTATTGTCTCTAATTTTAAAACGAAAGTAAAAGTTTAATAGCACTCAATAGCGCTATTACCTTTCGGTCCTCTTATAAATTGCATCGGGGTGATAACGACTCACTGTGTACCACTACATTGTTATGGTAAATTTTGAGCAGTGTTTTTGTATTAAATATAAGTAATATATACCGTTAGAAAGGTAATATTCTGACAAAAAAACTGTATGTAAGACGTTTTCAGCTACGTGTAACGGAATCCACGACACTTAGCAAAATGATTAAAAAAAAATCTAGATCAAAAACAAAATATTTAATAAAACTATAAATATTCGTAGTATTATGAATCTAAACAATGAAGTAAAGTACACCATCGGAAAGGTAATTTTTTCGTGATTAATAATCACTAAAAATGTAGGGCATTATTAGAGTATGAACCCGAGTTATATAGGGAAATGTAGAATCATGTCACACAACTTTGGCGGCCATTTTGATTACGTCATCAACACCCATAGAGTGCCCGAAAAATTTGTGTCCCGGACTTTTTGGACTCGTCTACGCATGTACTATCCGAATCCAAAGGGGCGCGTTGGTTGCCAGATGTGAAATATTTTTCAGCTAACCCACCCCACTAATACAAGGGCGGTCCTAGACATATATTTTGGGGGGGTCACCGGGGGGCCTGGGGGGTATGGAATGCCCCCCAGTAAAGGAGGGGGGTCCGGGAAAAATTTGGAAATAACGTGCTAAAATGAGTGGTTTTAAAGCTATTTTGAGGACCTAGTTTAATGTGTTCAAGCTTCCCAGTTTATTTAAAGGTCAAAGAAATGTCTAAAAATAAACTTGTATAATGTCATGTTTTTGCATTATTGAGACTTGTGGTTTTAATATCAAAGGAATACCGCAACATTACAACACATTCAAGCATTATATTGATTTACGAAAACATCCTTCCAACTGGTGCCGATGTGCATGCTAAACAGAAAATGTCCAAAATCAGACCAAGATTTCAAAAAAAGAGAACTTATTTTATCTAAGAAGTGTTTAAGAACTTGCACCAAACACGACTGCATTATACCTGCCCAGTAAGCAACAGTTAACCTATAAAGTACACTACCCAACTAACGTTGCATCGGCGTCCCGTCACTGATACCGCCTGAAGAACTGGTTCTCAGTATTCTCATTTTTTTATACGCCAGTGCCAGTGGCATTTTACAAGGGGTCAACGTGAGGATAAAGTTTTTGTGCAAGGTTTTTGTGGTTGTGTCGGGAATTAAATCCGTCCCTTCCGCATCTAAGTCTGAGACGCTACCATTTTGTTGTTGTTTTGTGGCTAGCAACATGCCTATTGGGCTGTGTTCTTAAATATGATATCAGGTGCTCTAAATATGAATACTATTTAATATTGTAAGTTTTGAAATGTGCTACGGTAATCATTGAATTACATTACTGTAATTACAAATTCCTAACGCTGAAAAAATAATAGATACAATAGTAGATACAAAATAATAGTGTTTATATATTAACATTTCATTTTTTTTTCTTGCACTCTTTTACTTTTATGATGGCTGGTCATAGACAAAACATCACTTCTAATACCAACAGACATTATTTTTGTTAACTACACACACAGTCCCAATTACATCACCAGAGTTGTAAGTTGTAGCGCTAGTTCTCCAGCTTCGTCTGACATGACTTCTAGCGCGCTGGAGAGCTAGCAACTAAAGCTGCTGGATCTCATAGCGAGATTTAGCTGCTGAAACAAGCTCCGTGTGACAGGGCTTAAGTCACAGGTGTGTCTCTGTAAATTAATTTTATCTCATTTTAACAGATGGCAAATTTTTTTATTGCTGATGATAAATTGGTTTATAATTGTGTTATCAATATTTTGCACGGACAAAAATAGTTTCTTCTTTTAATGTATTTTCCTTTTAAGTCACGTTTTATCCAGCTTTCTTAATTTCCAAGAAACACAGGACAAGAATGTTGAATGGTTAAATAAAACAACAGTAAACAGTTTATTAAAAATCACAGGTACATTGCAAGAGAAATTAAATGATAGGAAAACAGAGTTTGGAGTTATAAAGCAAGTTTTTTAATTTCACTGCTCACTTCACTCTCCAGATTGTTTTTTGTGTTTGTGCCATCAAACTGGATTAGTCCATAGTCCCCTGTTAGGAGCCAGTTTCTGTTTTTGGCAGCAACAGGTTCAAACACGTATGGATCAAGTCCTGAAAGATTTATTCTAATTAACACAGAATAAATTGCTTAATAATTGCAGCTACAACAACCAAAAAATTATCATTAAATGAACATAATTGTTTTGAATTGAAACAGAAAACTAGACTTTAATAATTTGTCACCGTATATTCAAGGATAATTTAATAAACGGTCTGGGGCCAGTGATGCAAGAGGTTTAAGGTTTGTAAAGGGGAGCATTACTCACCATAGAAATCCTCCCGATTCTTGGCTCTCACTTATAACTCAACACTGCCACTACCAGAATTTTGTTACTTGATAATAGTTTTGTATTTCTTTGTCTATTCGGGGATCACATGCTATTAGTTAGCTTAGGAATAAGTATATTGACATGTTTTTGGTAACTTTTTTAATATGATTGTATGTATTAGAGATGGACAGGTCCCGAAATTTGGGGAAATTCCTGTTCTTTTTATATTTAGGGCCGGTTCTAGACATTTTTCTACCGTAAGCAAACAACATTTTAAAGCTTTTAAATCATTTACATGAGAATAAAAGTATACCATTTTTCTACAAAGGGAGAGACAGTTAAAAAAGTACTAAAAATAATACTATCAACAATAATTATTGTTATTATTATAATTATTTGCCTACAGCTGAATCGTAGAATGGTAAACAGTCACTCAAGATACACATACCGGCAATCAGATCTGCCTTGGCGGTGCGCAGGGCTACAATTGGAGCAGGGTTGAAGCCTCTCAGAGCCGCATGAAACGGAGTTGTGTACTTCCAGTTGATATCTCCGAGCAACTTGCGATAGTTGAGATCCCCCTTGAAAATGATGATGCTGCTCTCAGCCAACATACTGTGCAGCTTGGGGTCTTGCTCCTTCATCTCGTTGTAAGAAAAGGGCAAAGTCCAAAACGGCTCACTGTGAACACTCCACTTACCTAGTGACATTTAGAATTGTGATTACACCCCTAAAAATGCACTTAAAATAATAGGCAAATAGGAGACTATGTATTAGAGGTAACACAGGGGTCTCATAGATGCAGAAATTGAGAAAGCTTACGAATAGATATACTTTCAAATTTTTTCCAAAACAATCAGTTACTTTTGAATCCAGATAAAACAAAGTTCATAAATTTTGAGACCCGTCAGACAAGACTTTCAATTAATCCTTCACTAGAAATTAATCAGAAACCTATTGAAGAATTAGAAAATATTAGATTCTTAGGATTTGAAATTGACAAAAATTTAACTTGGAATTCTCACGCAAACAAAGTAATAAAAAAAACTGTATCTGGTCTATTTGCATTAACTAGATTAAAAAATCTTCTTAATCAAGTAACATTAAAATCAATATACTTTTCGTACATACATTCTGTTATTTCTTTTGGAATATCTCTGTATGGCGCTACATCTATCAATAACTTAGAAACAATCCTAAAATTACAAAAACGAGCTATAAGAATTATTTTGGACCTTGACTTTTGACTACTACCCTCTGTAGTGTATTCCAACTTAGGTTGGGCGTTTGTGTAGTGTTAGTTGTAATGTGTTAGTTAAGTTTTTTTCACCTGAAGACGGGATCAGATTCCAGATCCCGAAACGTTGTGTATTGTTTTTTTACATTCGTGATGGAAACTGTCCGCAATAAACCTTTGAACAACATTAAATCAATTTATTATTAATTTTTAACTAGTGATGGATAACAGTTACAATAAATTTGGACTCTACTTTAGGGTTTTCACTAGGCTATGGTATAATTTCCTGATGAAAAAGCCTTATTTCCATAGAAAGCGTTAATACAAATGCTCTACAAAACCAAAAACACTATTTTTAATGTGTTTAAAGTATCATTTTTCAGTATGCTCCGATTTTGTTTTTACAAGAGGTAGGAAGCTGAAACTTTCACAGAATATTTTTAAAATGTACTTTATAGATTGTGTAAGGTTTCAAAATGTTCGGAGCATAAATGGGCAAGTAATCTAAAATCAAACGTTTAAACCCTTCGTGGGACACCCTGTATATATATACGTCCGTGAACGCGATAACTTGAGTCATTTTTGTCCGATTTTAATGAAATTTGGTTTAAAGGTGTAAAGCGGGATAAACTTGAGTGAGTTCGCGAACCAGCACGATCGGACCATGGGAACGGGGCTTTACGGGGGGTTTTGCGTGGTAAAAATTGTTTTTTCTCACTTTTGACCCTCAAAACGCAAAATATCCCAATTTCTCTTTAGACCTTTTTAAAGAGCTTAAAAAACAATTAATTTAGTATATAAAAGTGTTGTTGTTCGGTTATTGGTAATGGAGAAAATTTAAAAAAATTGTTAATTTAAAATTCCTATGTTATTCTTATGGAGAATATTATAAAATGTTGTTGTTTGCTTGTTTATCGATATATTTTGATCAAACTTGGCAAATTTATTTATTTTATACTAAGCTATCAATATTTTACTAAAAACACACTTAATTAGTTTCCTTGTAGCAGCAAACCTAGGTACTCGTTAAAGCTAATGTTATTAAAATATTTTTAATTGAAAATGAATTCAGACAAATGGAAATTCGCTTAGTTGGTAGGTTTGCTGCGGCGGGGGTATTTAATTCTTGTACTTAATTTTATTGTCTCTAATTTTAAAACGAAAGTAAAAGTTTAATAGCACTCAATAGCGCTATTACCTTTCGGTCCTCTTATAAATTGCATCGGGGTGATAACGACTCACTGTGTACCACTACATTGTTATGGTAAATTTTGAGCAGTGTTTTTGTATTAAATATAAGTAATATATACCGTTAGAAAGGTAATATTCTGACAAAAAAACTGTATGTAAGACGTTTTCAGCTACGTGTAACGGAATCCACGACACTTAGCAAAATGATTAAAAAAAAATCTAGATCAAAAACAAAATATTTAATAAAACTATAAATATTCGTAGTATTATGAATCTAAACAATGAAGTAAAGTACACCATCGGAAAGGTAATTTTTTCGTGATTAATAATCACTAAAAATGTAGGGCATTATTAGAGTATGAACCCGAGTTATATAGGGAAATGTAGAATCATGTCACACAACTTTGGCGGCCATTTTGATTACGTCATCAACACCCATAGAGTGCCCGAAAAATTTGTGTCCCGGACTTTTTGGACTCGTCTACGCATGTACTATCCGAATCCAAAGGGGCGCGTTGGTTGCCAGATGTGAAATATTTTTCAGCTAACCCACCCCACTAATACAAGGGCGGTCCTAGACATATATTTTGGGGGGGTCACCGGGGGGCCTGGGGGGTATGGAATGCCCCCCAGTAAAGGAGGGGGGTCCGGGAAAAATTTGGAAATAACGTGCTAAAATGAGTGGTTTTAAAGCTATTTTGAGGACCTAGTTTAATGTGTTCAAGCTTCCCAGTTTATTTAAAGGTCAAAGAAATGTCTAAAAATAAACTTGTATAATGTCATGTTTTTGCATTATTGAGACTTGTGGTTTTAATATCAAAGGAATACCGCAACATTACAACACATTCAAGCATTATATTGATTTACGAAAACATCCTTCCAACTGGTGCCGATGTGCATGCTAAACAGAAAATGTCCAAAATCAGACCAAGATTTCAAAAAAAGAGAACTTATTTTATCTAAGAAGTGTTTAAGAACTTGCACCAAACACGACTGCATTATACCTGCCCAGTAAGCAACAGTTAACCTATAAAGTACACTACCCAACTAACGTTGCATCGGCGTCCCGTCACTGATACCGCCTGAAGAACTGGTTCTCAGTATTCTCATTTTTTTATACGCCAGTGCCAGTGGCATTTTACAAGGGGTCAACGTGAGGATAAAGTTTTTGTGCAAGGTTTTTGTGGTTGTGTCGGGAATTAAATCCGTCCCTTCCGCATCTAAGTCTGAGACGCTACCATTTTGTTGTTGTTTTGTGGCTAGCAACATGCCTATTGGGCTGTGTTCTTAAATATGATATCAGGTGCTCTAAATATGAATACTATTTAATATTGTAAGTTTTGAAATGTGCTACGGTAATCATTGAATTACATTACTGTAATTACAAATTCCTAACGCTGAAAAAATAATAGATACAATAGTAGATACAAAATAATAGTGTTTATATATTAACATTTCATTTTTTTTCTTGCACTCTTTTACTTTTATGATGGCTGGTCATAGACAAAACATCACTTCTAATACCAACAGACATTATTTTTGTTAACTACACACACAGTCCCAATTACATCACCAGAGTTGTAAGTTGTAGCGCTAGTTCTCCAGCTTCGTCTGACATGACTTCTAGCGCGCTGGAGAGCTAGCAACTAAAGCTGCTGGATCTCATAGCGAGATTTAGCTGCTGAAACAAGCTCCGTGTGACAGGGCTTAAGTCACAGGTGTGTCTCTGTAAATTAATTTTATCTCATTTTAACAGATGGCAAATTTTTTTATTGCTGATGATAAATTGGTTTATAATTGTGTTATCAATATTTTGCACGGACAAAAATAGTTTCTTCTTTTAATGTATTTTCCTTTTAAGTCACGTTTTATCCAGCTTTCTTAATTTCCAAGAAACACAGGACAAGAATGTTGAATGGTTAAATAAAACAACAGTAAACAGTTTATTAAAAATCACAGGTACATTGCAAGAGAAATTAAATGATAGGAAAACAGAGTTTGGAGTTATAAAGCAAGTTTTTTAATTTCACTGCTCACTTCACTCTCCAGATTGTTTTTTGTGTTTGTGCCATCAAACTGGATTAGTCCATAGTCCCCTGTTAGGAGCCAGTTTCTGTTTTTGGCAGCAACAGGTTCAAACACGTATGGATCAAGTCCTGAAAGATTTATTCTAATTAACACAGAATAAATTGCTTAATAATTGCAGCTACAACAACCAAAAAATTATCATTAAATGAACATAATTGTTTTGAATTGAAACAGAAAACTAGACTTTAATAATTTGTCACCGTATATTCAAGGATAATTTAATAAACGGTCTGGGGCCAGTGATGCAAGAGGTTTAAGGTTTGTAAAGGGGAGCATTACTCACCATAGAAATCCTCCCGATTCTTGGCTCTCACTTATAACTCAACACTGCCACTACCAGAATTTTGTTACTTGATAATAGTTTTGTATTTCTTTGTCTATTCGGGGATCACATGCTATTAGTTAGCTTAGGAATAAGTATATTGACATGTTTTTGGTAACTTTTTTAATATGATTGTATGTATTAGAGATGGACAGGTCCCGAAATTTGGGGAAATTCCTGTTCTTTTTATATTTAGGGCCGGTTCTAGACATTTTTCTACCGTAAGCAAACAACATTTTAAAGCTTTTAAATCATTTACATGAGAATAAAAGTATACCATTTTTCTACAAAGGGAGAGACAGTTAAAAAAGTACTAAAAATAATACTATCAACAATAATTATTGTTATTATTATAATTATTTGCCTACAGCTGAATCGTAGAATGGTAAACAGTCACTCAAGATACACATACCGGCAATCAGATCTGCCTTGGCGGTGCGCAGGGCTACAATTGGAGCAGGGTTGAAGCCTCTCAGAGCCGCATGAAACGGAGTTGTGTACTTCCAGTTGATATCTCCGAGCAACTTGCGATAGTTGAGATCCCCCTTGAAAATGATGATGCTGCTCTCAGCCAACATACTGTGCAGCTTGGGGTCTTGCTCCTTCATCTCGTTGTAAGAAAAGGGCAAAGTCCAAAACGGCTCACTGTGAACACTCCACTTACCTAGTGACATTTAGAATTGTGATTACACCCCTAAAAATGCACTTAAAATAATAGGCAAATAGGAGACTATGTATTAGAGGTAACACAGGGGTCTCATAGATGCAGAAATTGAGAAAGCTTACGAATAGATATACTTTCAAATTTTTTCCAAAACAATCAGTTACTTTTGAATCCAGATAAAACAAAGTTCATAAATTTTGAGACCCGTCAGACAAGACTTTCAATTAATCCTTCACTAGAAATTAATCAGAAACCTATTGAAGAATTAGAAAATATTAGATTCTTAGGATTTGAAATTGACAAAAATTTAACTTGGAATTCTCACGCAAACAAAGTAATAAAAAAAACTGTATCTGGTCTATTTGCATTAACTAGATTAAAAAATCTTCTTAATCAAGTAACATTAAAATCAATATACTTTTCGTACATACATTCTGTTATTTCTTTTGGAATATCTCTGTATGGCGCTACATCTATCAATAACTTAGAAACAATCCTAAAATTACAAAAACGAGCTATAAGAATTATTTTGGACCTTGACTCGAGAACTTCAAAAGAGCATTTTAGATCATTAAAAATAATGACAGTATATGGATTGTACATCTATGAAACAGTTCTATATGTTAAAAACAGATTTTCTCAATTGGCGTTAACTGGTGAACACCACCACTACAATACCAGAAACAAAACCAACATTGCTCTAAACCGCCACAGATTAGAACTTTACAGTAAAAAACCAAGTTATACCGGCTCCAAATTTTACAACAAAATTCCAAATGAAATTAAATTGGCAAAAAGCATGGTCGAATTTAAGAGGGGTCTTAAAACATTTCTCATCAACAAGGTATTGTATTCCCTTGATGAACTTTAAATTTTTTAGAAGGAGCATTCATTTGTAATTTGTATAAACTTATGTTAGATTTTAAGAACTTTGTATCCATAGAATATAACATTGTAATATAAAAACATTTAAGAGAATGACACTATTCATGTACTTTGTGCTTCAATGAATAAAGAAATATTGAATTGAATTGAATTGCTTCTTCTATTGCTTCTGTCTTTTGTTGATGAAAAAGGTCACAGTTACCAAGTGTTTTGCTAGAAAGAAAAATATATATACATACATACATTAACAAAGAGAACTTCAATGAAAATCAGTACTTTACCTACCATGGTCCAAGTAGTCATGCCAGCGAGCTGCCAACTGTTGACAGGCAGGAGTGTGGTTGGAAAGTCTCTCTATCACCTGGTGAAAGTCTTTCTCCATCACATCAGAGACAAACCACGGGATAGCTTTGCAATGGAACCTCACCCTCACTGCGTTGTACATAGAAGTCAGATAGTCGGCGAGACATAAATCCATCATGAGTTCCAAGCCAGTGTTGTCCAGTACAATATCTGAAATTACAACATGTGTTTTATAATTTATATGCCGCATTCAAATTTACTCTGAGGATTTAAAGGTTCATTCGTGGATCGTAGACAAATTTTGATTACAACCAAGCTCTCATTTATGCAAAGCGAGTCAGTTAAAATCTGACACCATCCCAGTACCAAGTTCCTCACTTCCCTTACTGCTATTCTAGACAATCCCCACGCCTCTGTGACGCTCATTCTTGTTGTGTTAGAACAATGAGAGGGAAAGTCATCGATCAATTAAGGAGAATCTAAAAGAACCATAATCATTCAATGATGAACTTTGCACTAAGTTGTGCTTGTATTATTAATGAGCAAAACATACGTACCTATGATGAGGTCTTTGACAATTGAGGATTTAGAGATTTCTACCCAGATGTCATGTGAGTTGTCTATGAGAATAAACTCATCAAATTCATCCAACAGTTTAAACGGATCGCCTTTCACCTCCACATGATTTCCACTAGACATGGATAAGTCGACTCTGTTGGCCCACAAAGAATGCTGTAAACAATTTACAATTTATTTTCTAAAGGTCTACCGGTATCTAAAAAATAAATAAGATTTCTAGATTTCCAATAAAATGTATAGTGAAACTTATAAATAATTTATGATGCATTTTTTAAATGACCCATACACATTTCTATAGTATGAAATATTTTGTTACTACATATAAATAATAAGCAAGTCGTACATTGTGGTTAGGCTTCATTACTAAACAAATAATATAACTTACCTTCCCCATTTCTCCGTGAAAAAGGTATACAATACACTACAACTGCCTTGTAAATAATATTTTTCAATTTAACTATGCAAACTGGGGCAAAATATAGGGGCATTTTGGAATGACTGATCGGCAGTTCCAGGGTTAAACATTTCATAATGCAAAAGACTATTTAATACAATACAATACAATACAATATTCTTTATTGTTAATTCGTCAAGAATTACAATAGTGTCAATACAATAGTGAATTGTACATGTTAATTTTCATAAAATTCCTTTATTGAGTAGAAGGGTCTTGCGATTAGCCACTTCTTCAGCTCCTGGTGTAGCTTGTTGCCAGTCAGGTCTCTCAGGTAGTCAGGTAGATGGTTCCTCAGCTTGCAGCCGGTGTAGGAAGGTTTTTTCTCCCAAAGAGTTGTTCGGTGAACTGGTAGTGCAAATTTGGAGCCATGACGGGTGTTGTAGTGGTGCAGGTCTTGGTTTCTTGGGGGGTTTATTTCATTCACATACTTAATGGTTTCAAGTATGTAGAGAGACACCACTGTGAGGATTCCTAGGTTTACGAATGCTAGTCTGCAAGTCTGTGGTGGTACAAGGTTGGCGAGGGCTCTTATGGCTTTCTTTTGAAGGACAAGAATTCGATTCATATTTTTTGTTGAAGTTCCTCCCCACACTGTCAAGCCATATCTAAGATGCGACTCTACCAGTGCGAAGTAAGCTGTTTTGGCCACAGAGAGTCCGCCTATGTAGTTTATCCTTCTGACGACATATATTCCAGTACTGATTTTTTTGCTTAGGTGGTAGATGTGCTCTTTCCATGTCAGTTTGTTATCAAGGATAACACCGAGAAATTTTGTGTAGTTTTCTATTGTTACATCCTCTAATTGAGGGACTAAGGTAAACGCACCAGTAGCTGACAGTATAAGAAACTATACGCACTTAATAATCCGTGGTTTTGAATAAATAGGAACTAAAGAGATATTACGGATTTTATGGGATTCTAAATTTAGTGTAGTTTTCAAATTTGTCACACAAAAAGGGTTTTTAAAATATATTTTATAACATTTTGGAACTTAATTCAACCTTTGTACGTGTTCCAGTGGCTGACAGTGAAAAAAGTGCTTGTACCAGTAGCTGACTATGTGTTGTCCCAGTAGCTGACACTGGAACTATAAATGTAATAGCTGCTAAACCTAAGGGTTTTAATTTATAAGACGAATAAAATCTAACTTAATAATTAAGTTATAAATAAAATCATGAAAACGTTACTAAGAAAATTTATTTTACATATTTTAAAATAAAAATATTTACATAAAAAAAATATATATATATTTTATAAATATTAAAAAAAATATAAATTTTTTAAATATATTTGTCTTATTAATTAAAAAATTAAAATCATTTTACAAAAATGTGAGATTACATAAATTATAAAAAGCATGCAAATTTCGATGGGTAAAACTAATTTAATATTGTGCAAGTAGCAAATATCCCCTGTCAGCTATTGGAACTTGTATGGCTTTTGTGTACCAAAGCCTGACATTGATATAATTTTAAATCCAAAACCCCTAAAACCCCAATTTTATCATGAAATTGTCAACAAAGGTATAATTGATAAAAATAACGAGCCTAACCATTAATAATATTTAAGAAATTTTGCGAAATGACAAAAAACCAAACTTACCTTCTTAACAGTTTCATTAAGGGAATCGACTAAATGTGATGTGTACAGACAGGGTTGCTTTCAAACCACCACCATTCAGCGAGTATGTGCTAAATTTCACAAATTGTTTTGTAATCAAATCAGGAATAAACATATGTTCTTCTAACAATGCAATCATGTGTAAATATTTTTAAGAGGCCACATTATAATGTAAAGAAACTCAAACTGTCAGCTTCTGGAGCACTGTCAGCTACTGGTGCATTTACCTTATGTCTTTTTTCTTACTGAAATTCAGAGTTGTAGTTTTTGTGGGATTTATTGCTAAGTCATTGTTCTTTGAGTAGAGGATAGCTTTATTTAAGATCGATTTTGAATTAAGGTAAAGGCTTTGGGCTGTGTTGTCCTTGATCAAAATGGTTGTGTCATCTGCATACATGATTGCAACAGCATTTTCACTCTCAATTTGTTTGGGGAAGTCATTAGTCAATAAGATGAATAGAATCGGGCCTAATACAGAGCCTTGTGGAACTCCTCTTGTCAGCTTGCTTTTTGAAGATTTGAAACTTTCTGTGACTTCATTTGATGAGTTTTTCAGTTCCACGACTTGTGAACGTCCCGTTAGGTAGCTTTTGAACCATTCTAGCGCAGAGTTTCTTATACCGAGTCTTTCAAGTTTCTTGCCTATCAGGTCGTGGCCCAGGCAGTCAAAAGCCTTACTGTAATCAAGGAAGATAGCGGAAATGTATTGTTCGTTTTCTATCTGGTCTAGGACGTACTCAATTCGTGCTGTTATAGCTGAGGATGTAGATTTATTCTTCCGAAAGCCATGTTGGTTGTCAGTTAAGAGTTTGTTATGATTAAGATGTGCCATTAATCTAGCCAGAGCAATTTTTTCTATGATTTTAGAGAAACTGGAGATGAGAGAAATGGGCCTGTAGTTTTGAGCATTTTCAGTTGGTCCTTTTTTATGTTTGGGGTATATTTTACTGACTTTTATGGCGGATGGGAATTTGCCTTCTTTAAATGATTTATTTATAAGATAAACCAGAGGAGAGATGAGTTCTTGAGAGCAGTGCTTTATCATCTTAGAGGAAAACTCATCTATTCCACTTGATGTTTTGGCTTTTAGGGAGTTTATTATCGTTTTAACTTCTTTATAGGATGTTGAAGTTAGGGTAAGGTGTATTGGGCAGACTGGTTCCTCTCCACTCAGCACTGTTTCAGGGTCTATAACGATTGCTCTGTTTTGGTCAAGGGTATTTTCTGCTATATTTGAGAAGAATGTGTTGAAGTGTTCGGCCATTTCTTTTGTGTTGTTTGTGAGTTTGCCATTTATTTCTAATTCTGCAAGGGTTTTCTCTTCACATTTTCCTTTCCTTTCCTTGTTTATAACTTGCCATAGTGCTTTTGGTTTGTTGTCAGCTTGTTCTATGAAGCTAGCTGTTGAGGACATTTTTAGGTTTCTTAGTTTCATGTCGTATATCCTTTTTCTATTAATCATTTCTAATTTGTCTTCATTTCTGTTCGTTAACTCAAACTTTTGCAGAGCTTTCAAAAAGTTCTCTTTAAGGTATTTTGCTTCAGGATCGTAGTACTTCATATGTTTTTTTGTTTTTAATAATTTTAGTTTTCTTTAATGGGCATGTATAATCCAGTGCTGTTTGAAGAATATTATGAAATTTGTTGTAGGAGGTTTCAAGATTGGGTGAAGAGTAAACATGTTCCCAATTTTGTAGATGGAGGTGGGCCTTCAGATTGTTTAGGTTTGTGTTGTTTAGGCTTCTTTTCATTACAAATCTTTGGGAAGTGTCTTCTTGGTGTGTTTTCAGCAGGCACAGCTGCGCAGTGTGGTCAGATAGACCAGTATGCACAACTTGTCCAGTAATATACGCACATGGTATGTTTGAGCATATACAGTCTATTGAAGTGGCTGTGTCATGGGTTATTCTGGTGGCCTCTAGAGGAAATCTCCAGATGTTTTGTGTGGTTAACTCTTCTTCCAGCATGGTGTTTTTGGAATCTTGGGTGAGCCTGTCGATATTTATGTCACCGATAAGTACAGTATTATGTTTTTCTTGTGTACTTCTTGTAGTTCTAGCGTGTCTGATAGGAGGTCAAGGGCAATTCTTGCATTTTCGATTGGTGGTCTATAGATTCCCAGAATGTAGATATCCTTTTTCTTTGTTGTCTGCATGCGAATCATTGCTGCTTCGAATATTAACTCCTGGCATGTGTTTGATATGTTAATAGCTGATACTGTATCAGCAAGGGATTCCTTGGAATATATTGCAACACCTCCAAGTTTATGTTCTTCTCTACTAAAGTGGGTAATTAAAGAGTAGCCGGGAATTTTTGTAGCTTCTAGCTCTGTTTTTTTCAGTCCGTGTTCAGTCAAGACTAGAATGCTTGGTTTTGTGTCATTGAGAATATGGTGTAGTCTGTTCGTCTTTGTAGCAAGTCCTCTAATATTTTGGTGCATTATTGCTACACAAGAATTATTTGGAGATTTGCAGATTTTTCTTTTGCTTTTTTCAGGCTGTTTGTTTCTAAAAAAGGGGTTATAGTATGGGGCACTGTAGAGTGATTAGATTGTTGACTTGAATTGGGTTCTTGCAGCTGCTCATGTTTCTGTTCTCCTTGAGAAGAGAGGCAGTCCATCTCGGTCATGTTTAGTCGCTTGGTGTGTGACAGAATATTCTTTTTATATAGGTCTATATTTTTCCAAAAGAAGTCTTCAATGGTCTCTCCCGGCTTAAGAAGCTTGGCGGTGATCGGGGGTTTCCCTGTGTTCTTTGGTTTAGTTGATTTGTTTGGGGGAGATATAGTGCCCTTGAAAGTAGAGCAAACTCCTTTTGGAATTTTGATGGCCTTGGGTTTTTTAATATTTTGTTTTTTTGTTTGTTGTGGTTGACTTTGGTGTTCTGGTGCTTCTTTCCTCAACTTGCTTTTTGCTATTTGCAAGGAAACACTGAAATGGGTTTTCTTAGTAGTTGCCAATTTGTTTTTATTATATGAAACTCGTCTTGGTGTGTTAATTGGCTTGCAAGGAGTCTCCTTTTTCTCAGTTATTAGTTGCTGGGAATCTTCTACTGTTATTTTATCTTCTAATTTCTTCATTTTTGACTCCATATTATTCTGTTTTTCTTTTAGGGCCTTTAGTTCAAGTAGAATTAGTGTTTCTGTGTTTGATGCTTCTGGATTTTTGTTGTCTGAAACTGTGGTTTTGTTTGTGAGGTCCTTCGCCTCTGTAGTGGTTGTCTGTGTGCTTGTCTCTCTGAATGATTTTGTAGATTCTTCTCCGGTGTTTATTCTGCTGCATGTATTTTTTGCCTAAGGCATTTAATTTCATTCTCCATGTCCTTTATTTTTGTGTTGAAGCTATTAAAAGTTTCTTCCCTGTCTTTGTCATAATCTTCAAATGTTTTTGTGAGAGTGTTTCTCAGGCTTACTTCCTTTTCCAATTGGTGTTCTAGTTCAGTTATTGTTTCGATTAGGTCGTTGTTTCTAATTAGAATAGTATTTTTCTCATCTTCTAGTTGTTCAATTTGAGCGTGGTAGTTCATGATGTCGATGGTTTGTATGTTTGTTAGTTTCTGGGCCAGACTCGAGTTTTGTTGAGTCAGGTTGAGTACTTCTTCTCTTAGTTTGCTATTTTGTGCTAGAAGTGCGTTTCCAACTTCTGCTGCAAGTGTTAGAGAAGTTTCTAAATCGGGATCTTCTGAGTTTTCTAGTTCTAGAATTTTGTTTTCTACCTCGCCCATTTTGTTACCCTGACTTTCAGAGGATATTTGATTTGGGGGTGTGGGAGTTTGGTCTTCTTTTAGTTGTAACGCTGGCTTTCCAGAGGTGAGGGAAAGATCACTACAATTGTTACACCTCCATAGGAAAATGTCTTCTTTAGAAAGGTTTTTTAATTGTTTTTCTGTGATATTGACACACCCACCATGAAACCAGGAGTTGCAGGGACCAGTACATTTTATACTGGAGTATTTTACACCGATGTTGCATTCACCACAGGGATATTTTGAAACTTTTTTGTTCTTCGACATAGTTCAGGTGTAAAATTGTATCAGTTTTGAAAAGTTTGGCTGGTTCTTTATGTCAGGAATCTTGAGGTTCAGGTTAAAAATTATATCAGTTTTGAAAAGTTTGGCTGGTTCTTTATGTCAGGGGTCTTGAAGTTCAGGTGTAAAATTGTATCAGTTTTGAAAAGTTTGGCTGGTTCTTTATGTCAGGAATCTTGAGGTTTAGGTTAAAAATTATAACAGTTTTGAAAAGTTTGGCTGGTTCTTTATGTCAGGAGTCTTGAGGTTCGAGTTAAAAATTGTATCAGTTTTGAAAAGTTTGGCTGGTTCTTTATGTCAGGAATCTTGAAGTTCAGGTGTAAAATTGTATTAGTTTTGAAAAGTTTGGCTGGTTCTTTATGTCAGGAATCTTGAGGTTTAGGTTAAAAATTATATCAGTTTTGAAAAGTTTGGCTGGTTCTTTATGTCAGGATGCTTGAGGTTCGGGTTAAAAATTGTATCAGTTTTGAAAAGTTTGGCTGGTTCTTTATGTCAGGAATCTTGAGGTTCAGGTTAAAAAATTATATCAGTTTTGAAAAGTTTGGCTGGTTCTTTATGTCAGGATTAGAACTATTTAAATAAATAAATAAATTTATTTCTGTTGTCAAAAATTTGTGTAGAGTAATAAAGAATACAGTGTTGCACTGTATTACTGGTTGGTAGTAGGTTGTAGACACTGTTAGAAGTGGCAGTGTCTGTGGTCAGTTTGCTGAGCGTCCAGTCAGCAACTCTCAGTTCAAACACTCCCAGGCAGCAGGTGTCGTGTTGGAAGTGATGAATGTGTAAAGCTGTGAGTTGGCTGTGACGTCACTGCTTGGTTGTCAGTTTGATATATTTGCAGAGTTTAATTTAAAGAATTTGGGCACTTGTATGTAAAATTGAAACTTTTAAACTATGCAATGTTTACAAGATAACCATCTGCTCTATGAATTTTTGAGGTAAATGTTATTTTTGGTATTAAACTTGTATTAATAACTTACAGCCATGTTCATTGTTCAGTTAGTCATATTGGCTTTTCATGAGATTTTCTTGAGGGTCACTTAAAATCTTGATTGTCTTAAAATCACTTGATGAGTTGTTGTTTGTATGTGTGTTGTTTAATTAGTAATTTTGTTGTTTTTTACCACTAAACTACACTTTAGATATGGGAGCACTTTGCAGGTGATGCTAGATGTCCGCCATCTTGGTTTTCACTTGTAAAAGCCTAACTCATGCAAATTCATCAGAATACAAATACAAAATGAAATAATTTTATATTTATACAACAGAAAAAAAATATTTAAACTAACACTAGTTAGCAATTTATATTTTGTTAACAATATAAAACTACCATGCTTTACGAACCTTTAACACACGTTGGAAATCCGAATGCATGGCATCCCATCTTATATCATGATCTTCAAAAAGTTTAACCAAATATATGGCCATTGCATCCATAAAATGTAAAGCTTCTTCGACAGCTTCTGTCTTTTGTTTATGGAATGGGTCGTAGTCACCTAGCTTTTTGCTGAAAAAATATAAAAAAATATCAAAAACATTAAGGTTACGGAACGTAAGTTAAATAGATTGATCAAATACTTAATATTGAAAAACTGAACGTAAGTTAAATAGATTGATCAAATACTTAATATTGAATGTAAACTAGCATGAATGAATATTACAACTTGAATAACTGATGCATAAGTGAAAATTTTCTACCTCAGCAAGAAAGCTTCCTTTATTCTTCGGTACAGATAGCACTCAGCGTAGAGCCATTCTGTCTTGTACCAAGACACTGTTGTTCCGTTTTCGGTTTTGTTTCGCCAATAAATATTCCATTTTGAAGCGTCTTCACCGCAGACCAGCTGTGTGAAATACTTGTCGGTTACCATCTCATTCTTTAGCTGGGATAAACAGCTTATAACTCTCTTCACATCCTCCTTACCTTCCTAGAAAAAAAGGAAAATTGGTTATTTTGACTTCCTAAATATGGTGAAATTTGAATGAAGTCATAATGTAATAAGTGTGCTGTTTTATTCCAAATATCCAGAATATTAATATTTTTAAATTACAGCACTGACTGGAAGGTTGTGCAGAAGTGTTAATTATAAAGGGATTTGGGATGTGGCTGGCACACAGGCCAGAACACTGTTACTTCTGCTCTGGAGGTCCAAGTACAAGTCCTGCCAATCACCAATGGAATTTAAATATGTTATATTGATTGAAACAAACCTGATGGTTTGGAGCCTACCTAAAACTATAGATGTTTAAAGTGAGGATTAATTTTTAGCGCTAATAAACCTTTTTCAGAAGATAAGTTATGGTGGTAAATTATGCTAAATAGATGATAATAGAGTTTAACACAATTAGGCTATTGACTAGAGCTCGCCCCGTGGTCGAAAACTCGACCAAAAGTATGTATAGTGCAAACTTTTCTATTTTCACCCCACACTGTAAATAAAACATGTGATTGGAGTTTCTTCCATTTGTTTCAATTTTCTGTTTATATTTTGTTGTTATTTCTTCACCAACATGGCAACCCATGTTAATTTTTTTATTTTTATTTTAAATTCATTTTTTGTCCTTATTTTTTAGCTTATTTTAATTTATAAATGGATTATGCACATCTACCTAGGCAAATATCTTTCTAACAGTATGCGTAGATCTTTCCTGCGATTCACAGGAGCTGAGAAAAAAGGTTTTCAATAAACATGCTTGTCTATTAACCCTCCGAGTGTCCATAGTTTAGGCCTTAATGTCCGCCTATTTTTGGCGCATTTGCAAGGTTTTATTAAAACCGATCTGAGAAGCTTAAAACAATGTTAATTCTACTGTTCTATATACCATTTTGTTTGGAAAATCATGGGCTTCAATATTATACATAAAACATAAGGAACATTTGTTTCAAAAAAATTTTTTAGGTAAAAAAAAATATTTTGGAAAATTTGCAACAAAAAAAATAAGTTTGCGCTCAATGAAATTGTATAAATTATAGGCCTATAAATATTTGAAAATAGCCACTTTGTTCTAAATTTTATGAGGATTACAAATATATATTAATATAAGGAAGTAGATTTGCAAATAAATAAGTTATGGGCAAAAAACAGATTTCAGTACATAGCGTTTAGCTAAGAATGCATAGCCTAACCATAGCTAGGAATCTGGCTGATAATTTACATCAATATCACTACCTACTTCTTCAGGATCATCAACCAGCCCTTCAAAATCACTTAAATCTTCTTATAATGCACCACGTATATCACTACTTTTGATTTTTAACACTAAAACAATGATAAACGTAATAAAACACATCAGTCATCAGTCCGAGGGTAACCTAGCTATTTACAAATACGCACGTCAGCTGTCTGCTACAATTACGATCGGCTCGGAGAACATACAGCGCTGAGACAGACCTCTGGAGAAAGCTTAGAATATAACGAAAAGAACGATACCTAACTCGATCCAGTTCAATCCGATTCAGTCAGTCATAGAGCCTTCGCCGTAAACGATGTTCGCGCGTCGAAAAATCGACGCGTGACACTACACAAAGTGTGTCGCGCGTCGATTTTTCGACGAGTGACGCTCGGAGGGTTAATATAAAGAATTAGCCCTATGTTAAATCTCCATAAGAAAAGTTTAATAACGTATCAATTTTTGACTCAGTTAACATAAATATTCTCAAAATACAAATAAAACCTGCACATATATAGGACCGATAACCTTTCTTTTGTTACAACCCAATCGTGTAAATTGGTCCAGTAGTATGTTGAGGATAGCTGTGGTAAGCTTAAAATTTGACCCCATGTTAAATCTTCATAAGAAAAGTTTAATTTCCATTTTTTACCCAATTAACATAAATATTTTCAAAATACAAATAAAACCTGCACATATAGGACCGGTAACCTTTCTTTTGGTACAACCCACGTGTAATTCGGTCAAGTACGGTCAGGCTAGCTGTCATAAGTTTTCCAAAAGTGTTTTAATATAGAAGATAACAGCTAACAATAAAATTTTACTTCAACTATAAGTTTAATAATCATACCTCACCATAAACTGCTGCAATAGATTCTTTATCTCTTGACAAACCATCTATAACCTTTGTTAAAATCACTGGCAATCTGTCCTTGACTGTAACATATGCAAAACTCCTGAAATTCAAAAGAATAATTAATTTAGATAGCCTAATTTGTAATTGTTTAATAATCAATAAATAATTTGGCTTCTGAATGTAAATATATATAAATATGCTTATATTATTTTTTATGGGTTCATTATTAGCTTTGACTATTAATCCAACAGTCAATGTTATAAGCAAATTCCCAGCTATTACCGTAGGTGGCACGGTCAGCCCTGGGCCCAGGATCAATTTACTTTTTCATTTTTATGTCCCCAAAGAAACACTACTCATCCAAATTGTTATAAATGTATATGTATATCTATACCTATATAAATATGTGAAATAATAAAAACCATAGTACCCTGAAATTCTATTTAACTTATACGTATTTCGGCCATGATTACAGTATAGTTAAAAAAAGTATGTAAAAAATGAAATAAATAATAGTTTATAACATGTTTTATAATTCACAGTAAATTTTGATTAAATGGTAATGTTGAGCTTTTTAACATGTGAATGTATAAGATTCTTCTCTGATTTGTCTGATTTTTTTCATGATTTGGATTTTGTTTTTGCTATTGCATAACATTGAGGATTTGGTCGCCGTGTTCTTTTGAGTATAGGTAGAATTGAAATTCTTCTTTTATATAAATTTTTTACCCTTTTTATATGTCTGTGAACAAGATAACTCGAGTAATTTTGGTCAGATTTTGATGAAATAAGATTTGAAGGTGTCGGGCGGGATGATTTCGTAAACCAGCGAGATTGGGTCATGGGAACGGAGTTTTAGGGGTAAAAATTGGTACAGCATTTCTCATTTTTGAACCTCAAAATAGCCTATAACATTTCCCAATTTCTCTCTAAACCATTTTCAAGAACTTAAAAGAAATGATTTATTACATTGATATGTTTTATTACGGATGGAGAATAAGTAAACTGTTGTATCACAGCAAACTGTACATTTTTTATGTAAGTTTGCTTGTTTATGGATAAAACTCAATTTACAAAATTCATTTATTTTACACAAAGCTATAACAGTAATATTTTACTAAAAAAATAACTTTATTGCACTCAATGTAGCAGCAAACCTAAGGTACTCATAACACCTAATTTTATTTAAATTGATTTAAGTGAAAATCCACAATGGACAATGGAAATTCGCTTAGTCTGTAGGTTTGATGCTTCGGGGGTGTTTTTACTTGTTAAAGGTGTGTTGTTACAGAGTTGCCTAGTGTCCTACAAAAGTTATTGTCCTGAACATCGGTGTGAGAGGAATTAATTTTATCCCTGGCATATCCACCAAAATTTTAGGGTTTAGGTACGCTACAAACTACCAGAGGCGTTGTAATTAATGAAAGATAAAGCTGTGTTTGAATCTAAAGTGGAGGTCAGGGTTAAAAATAGCTTGGTACTGTATTGCTTAACTGTTTTCTGCCTACAAAGAATCATTTACCAAGAGAATCATAACCCAGACTTTCCAGAGGTAGGACCAGCTTGTGAATCTAGGTTTTTGGATTAGTCTTTAGTACCGTACACCTTGGACAGTTATAAACCTACAACTCACCTCATATATTTTGCACTCAGCGGAGCATCCCAAGGAGGGGCGGTATCTTGCACTGATGCCGCCTTTGAAAGTTTGTCTTTGTTACTAAAAAATAAGCAAAAATGTTGAATTGAAAAAAAGGCAATGGAATAACTTATTATACAACACAAAAAAGTCTCATAAATTCTCTTAAGTGTAAGGTATAAACCTATAACATTTAATCCAAGGAAAATTAAATCCAACCATCTATTAAATTTACAATTTTTTGGAATTTCTTCCATAACCGTCAGGTATATATACAACAACCCTTCAATATACTCAATTATTTGTTTATTTGAGCTCTACAAAATGATTTGTAGAGCTGACTTATTTTTTATAACTCTTTAACAGCTCTACTAGTTGGATAATCATATATCATTGTATTAGGCCTAGTTAGGCTGGGTGCTTTCAATAATAGAGAAACCATTTCTCTATTACCTATTGAACTATTAAACTGTACCCCTCTTTTGTAAGTTATGATTTACATCAATTATTGATGTAGAGTAAATCATACAAGGGGTACAGTTCCGCGGATAAAGTACTAACTTCTAACTAATATGTTATCAGATATTAAATCTCGATTATTTCATTAGATATAAATACCTATTGAATGTAAACACTGATTTCCTTTTTCTATGGGTATTTTCAAGATTTTTTATGGCATAGCACTTATTTCAATTGGTTACAGACCAATTGCAAATACTGCTAAAATAAATTAGAGTGGGAAAATTTATAGTCAATCATCCTTATATCCAAAAGAACCATAGATCAAAGTTCTGCCGTTCTGGTAAACTGTGTACACAAAGGTTTTCATACACGTGATCGTAAAAATATAAGTGCAAAAACAAATATACTAGGCTAACAAACTATTCATGTTTACCTCATATTATTGCTGGCAGTTTTAAAGGCTAGGCCTTCTTACTTCCTTCAACTTGGATGCCAATAATAAATAGAAATTATTTCACTTAACCTTAAATAAAAATGTGAGTCATTTTATAACATGTTTTGTTCCTAATTCAGGTAATTTTTGTTATATAAATTAAAATAAATAAACAAATTAGTATAAATTTTGATACACGAATGACAGAACGAGATCACACAGAACAGAAATAGTTTGTCAAGTCAAGAACAAGCAGACGACGAAAGGGATCGGGTGCAAATAAAGATTAGATTGAACGAAACAGCTGTCTTGTCAGAGCAGTATAAGAGAAAAGTAATTTTCTTATAGGTACTGTGTGTATATTGGTAATTGGAGGCTATTTTGTCAAAGAATACAGGATCTTATTCCGTTTTAAGTAAGATTTCTTTACAAAATCAAAATGTTATTAGAATATAGAATTCTGTGTCATTTAGCGAATTTCTACTATTTGGAAGAATATATTATTACCGTAGGTGGCATGGTAAAACTATAGATTACACTACACACGCATGTCGACATGTCCTGTTTAATATATCATCTGGAATTCGGAGGGGGTCTGACTATCAGACTGATCATTCCGAGGGATGTTTGTACAGTACTTCTTTTCTCACTTAAGGTACGTTTTGCTTGGAGCGACAGGTGCGACTGTCGCTTCAAGCAAAACGTACCTTTTGGCGAATGCTGGAATGGTTAACTCAATTAAGTGCCCGCCAACCAGAATGAAGATAGAACCATATAGATGGGGCTATGTTTTATCATAGACAAAAGGAGATAGAACCATAGACAAAAAGAATTATAGAACTCAGTTACTGTATGTTGTTTCATTAAAACCCTAAGGTGACCCTCAATAAATCAATCGTTTTCTATAATCTTGTTTTGTACTTTCTATTACTTTTAACTTCATAGTATCCAATAGTCAATGCTGTTACTTTTAAACTACAGTAGTAGCATCGAATAAATAAACACCATTTGGTAACATAAAATGGTGTTTATTTATTCTACGACTATGGTAGTAGTTAGGAAGACATTTTATGTTTTAAGTGTCCTCCTATCAAAATACAGCTACAATTTAGACGAGTGCCGTTTTACAATAACGTGCATTTTCAAATTCTGAAAAATCTTTAAATAAGAAAAACTTGTAAATTTCACACTTCAATAATTGTGCAAAATGTGTCCTTGCAAACTGCAATCAATTATATTTATTTAAAAAATGATTATCAGCTCATAGATGATATTTTGTTGGTATTTTTATTTACTGACTTTTGATCTATTTATCAGTGTGAAAGCTTGATAACACGAGCAAAAACTGCTGCAATAATGCAAATTTGACAAAAGGGGTAAACAAACCAATAGGCTACGTTTATTCAAACAAAATTGCAAACCTCCATGATCAGACAATGGGGATGCAGTTTTATGGAGTAAAAATGGGATTCTTTTTACTTTCCTGTATGTAAGTTTAAATGGAGAAAGTATTGTTAATCAAAATACACTCAACTCCGAATTCGGACAATGTCCGAAATTTTTACCCACTTCGCGATGTGGACGGAGTGTAATACCCACGTCGCGGAGTGAGCCTTTTATTCGGACATTGGCCGAAGCAAAATGCCCAGACCGCGTAGTGGGTGAACTGATTATTTACTCAAATGCCGAAGTTAAAACGTTTTTCGGTGATTGAGCAATTCCAAAATATCCACAACGTGGTGTGAACAAAAGTAATTGTCCACGTCGGGTTGTGGGTATGCGCAAACACAGAATTCTCGTTCTCACAGGACATCCATAATGAAGACCTAAATAGAGAGCAGTTAGCATACCTTTGTGCACTCTGTGCCCAAGAAATTGTGCTATTAATATAACATGGGAAAACTGTGTAACTTCCTTAAATATCCAGACACAAACAATGTCCAGAACACGGAAATAAAATTAATCTCAGTTTCAGTTGGAGGCAACGTGGATGTTCCTGATGTTGACTGGGGACTCTTGGGACTAAACACTGAGTTCTGGAGAAATAGTTCTCAAGAAACCATTCAACCGCTTACCCATGAAAGGGTTGTTGACAAGGTAATGGGAAAAAGTATTTGACAGGTTGCCGATACCGTTTATTTTTAATAGATAGGAAAAAATTGAAATTACTTTAGTTTGAAAACTAAAAAGGGCCACTCTAAATTTGCCAGCCAGTACAAGTAAATATTGAAATATATTTACTCACGTTATAACAAATACCATAACTAAACACTGAATACAACTCTGAAAAAAATGAGCACAACTTAACACTTTACACATAATCACCAATGGTCACCGACTCAGAATGCACTCATTACCAGATTTTGTTTCTAATCAAGATATCAAGATATGACTGACCTTGTCACAGTTGGTAGTTTGTAGTGTTTGAAAACACACAATTGACCTGGCCATAACTGTATCATCGGTATTGTTAAGGTTTAAGCCTGAATAAAGAACACTCGATCTTTGAAACAATGAAACTGAAAAAATGTTTCAAACAAATATTGATGATTTTGTTAGTTATTTAACATTAATCTCTAATAATTATTTTGATTCCCCAACACAAGTGAAAAAAACATTGATTATTTAATTAACAGTGGCATTTTTTGTATTGATAGGGTTTAAGCTATAGTACAGTAAATGCAAAGATGTTCTGTAAAATCAAAGCTCAATGACCAAGCACAGAGTTCAGATTTATAAAGACTACAGAAAATAACGATGACAGGGGTTTAAAACAGAAGCCACCTCAATGCAGGGCTCCTGGGATCCTGAAAGTTGTGGTTTTTTACTTAACGAGATGGAAAATGTCCGCATTATTCTGATAGATAAGGGTTGAAAGTTACAAAGCAATGTTTTTTATAAAATTTATATATTTAAATAATTACAATAACTAAGACATATAGTTCTATCACAAACCACTAATATCTAATTTTCTTAGGTATAAAGTAAATAAAATAAATAATTCCATTAAAGATATTGCTTAAAGGACAATAAACTAAAAATGATATAAATTACAGCTTTGATTTTCCTTAATAAATAGGCCTATTACTAATGGTTTTTTTATTAAATAGTTCAAACTACTGTTATAAACAATGTGGGTTTGAATAGTACTTAAGGTTTGATATCCAAAAACATTGAATGGTATTTGATGAAGTACAATTAAACATTTGCATGAGGAAGGGGCACGAGTACATTTGATAAGCCAATGTACTTACGCCCCTTCGTTTTGAATGCCACTAAATTTTATGTTTTAATCAAAATGTGATAACAACCTAAAGAAACACGAATTGAAATTTATTGGAATCGACATCATAACAGTAAATTGTTGATTAACTGGAATAATGATATGATAGCGGAACCATATACCCGAGTTTCCAAATAACTAGAGGTCTATTTTGGAAAAAGTATTGTATATAAATTTGTTGAATCTTCCCACCATGTGTTGACACCAGTGTGTCAAATATTAATATGATACAATGAATACAAACCCTTTAAGAAGCAAAATGCTTATGGAGAATAGTCAGACTGGAATTTTGCCGCCAAAATGAGCTTTGTGCGGCCACCGCTACGATCGCTCGCGTGGCGGCCATGCTACTATATTTCTCTCTCTTTTTAAACAGACTCTTTGTCTCACTCTCTCTCACTCAGTCAGCTGACTTGGCGGCGTGCTCGCGATAGTCTACCTAGCGACCACCGCGGGAACCATCAAAAACTCAAATATTTCCAGACAGAATTTTTTACAAAGGCATTGCGCTTCAAGGGTTTGTATTCATTGTGTGATATCAGGGGAATTAAGACAAGTTATCAAAACAATTTCAAAGTAAAGTTTGTCTTACGAATATATACATAAATAAATATATATGTACAGTCACAGAGAACTAAGGAACAGAGGATGGTACACTTAAATGGTGCCTAGCACTTTGCTGGTGTCTAGGGTGAAATCCTGCACCTCCCCTCTCGCCCTCATGTACTACAATCAATCAATCAATAAATTATCAATTATTTAAGATGGGGACGCCACTATGTGCATATTTTAACCCAAATATGAATGAAGGATGAGTGTAGGATGAGTGGCGCGATCTTGTAGTCTTGTTAGTGACTAAGGCCGACATGTTCCTTAGACACAGCTGTTAATTAATAGCCCATACAGCTAATGGCAACTAAGGGACCTACAGTTTATTGTGGAATCCGAACCACATTTTTTCCTCATAATTAACGAATTGGTCTAATTATTAGGATAGTACTGCGGGTAGTCATAGTACTCACTAGTGCGGACGTTAATCCACACCAGGGAGCATCGCATCCACAGTGCATCCCTAAAATTATCCACAATTCGTGATAATCTACAACACTCAAGGTGGAGGAAGACCTTGTGCAACAGGAATTTCCGCACAGTGCTCAGCGTTCGGGCTCTTTCAAGCTTGTCACAAGTATATTTCCGTCCCAACATACCAGAGCTGAAATCGCGTGGTTGTGCCATAAGCAAGTTGTCTCTGTTCCTTAGTTCTCTGTGGTTCAGCACAGCAACAAAGATATTTTGATCATAACTTATAAATAATAATCTCCCTTGCTTTAGGATTAAAAATAAGTCACACACTTAAGTAAAATTTCCAGGTAATAAAACTCAAACTAAACATTCAATTACTTTCACTAAATTTAACATTACTATAAAATGACCATATTAACCTAACATAATAATTTGGTACCCTAAGGAAATCTTAAAATCTATAATATTCATTTTAAAATAGCTTAATGCATCAGTTTCAAATAATGATAAATGTATTCACAAATAGGTTTGATTTATTTACAATTAAATAAGTTAATGTTTTTCTTACAGTGTACAAATTAAAAATCATGTCACTCTTGCATGTATGTGATAAGTTCTACCATAGACTAACCAACACAAGTAGACTTCTCATCCCATTGTAAATTTTGAAGCACGTTTTTCGTGTCTAGTTCATGTACGTGACACAAAGGCGCTAGTGTCGATGAAACTTTGTTTCCATTATTTTAGGGTTAATTTCGTGATTTGTGCTTTACTGTTTGGTTATATAACTAGGGGACAAGTTATTGTTTATGATTAGATCGTATTATTTGGTTAAACGAGGTTTTAAATGGCTGTAATAACGGGAAACAAATTGTAAACAAAACACGACCTCTACATAAACCGTACATGAACTAACAATAAAATTGTCTTCAGCTGTTCCATAAGGATGAGAAATCTACTAAGGGAGTATGTTTTATCTATGGTTCTACTTATTTTCTTTGGCTCATTCAATGAGTAGTTAAGAATTAAGAAACAGAATGCAGAACTGCTGGTCTTAATAATACAACATAGCCTACATGGTTATTTTTTGGTTTACCTCTTAAAACTAAGAATTGGAATGTGAGAAAACACAAATTCAATAACACCCCGACAAAATGTGACAAAACCGTCTCATAACTTTTGGAATGGACTTCGAACAAGAAACTTCTGCCTTACCAGCTAGGAAACCATTCACTTTCTACAAATGTGGGACATGTGGGACTGCCTTATGTGTGATAGTCCAACCAAACTGGTTTTCCAACAAACTGCAATCAATGTTTGCCAAAATATGGTAAATTTTGTCACAAAATCATTATTGTGATTCAGTAGCATAATATTTGGTTGTCAGGAAAAATGATCATTAAAATTTACTATGCACAATTTAACAGCCCAACAGTATTGGTCTAACAAGAATCAATGGTATTTTGTATTTGGATTTTAGAACACTTAAAACCTACTGTACAGCTAACAAAAGCTGGCTTTTATGAACCCAGTGACTTATTTGTTCGACGGAGAGAGATCAAAATATAAACTAGCGTTAACATCACAGCTTGAAAGCAAACAGTTTTGAAATGTAATCTATGATCCTGTCATCGCTCAACACATCCATGTGATCCATGTTGGGGAATGTCTGGTGATACACCGGCTGCTTTTGGTTGCCCTTCCAGTGAAGACAACCTTCTAAGCTCCTCTTGTTTACTGTTCCGTCTCCGTCACCAAACACAAAACTGGGACTGCCCTCGGGGAACTTTCCTTTTTTGTAGACAAGTCTGAAATTAAGTAAACATTGAAAGGTTAATAGCAGAGTGAATTCCTATAACTCCAGTGAGTACTAAGGACATTTTTTTCTAGTACTCTTTTTGCGTGAATTTACCATAAACCTTCCGCTCCATTTTCTATTACATAATAGTAATTTTATTTTAACATCCTCTGGGTTTTGATAACCAGCTTGGAGTAGATCACACATGGGGGTTTAATTTTCAAGCTGAGCTTTTATTCTTCCAATGAAAGCATCTGCGAAGGTTGTGCGATTGAAAATCCTGATTTTTTCATAACCGATGGAGGAAGGAAGGAAGATGAAGTCTCCGCGACCACAGGAGACAATTATAACTTTACTGTGATAGCAGAAGACGAAGATGATGTCCCCGCAAATACAGAAGAAGTTCACGATTTTAATGTGATCGTGGGATAAGATACTGATGTTATTGCAATCACAAAGGATGTTCACTTTACTGTGAATGTAGGAGACAAAGATCATACCCCCACAAAAACGAAAGGTTTTTTTTATTTCATCTTGATTCCAGCAGGCGTAGAACCTTTATGTACGCGATTGCAAAAGAAGTTCACTATTTCACATTAACGTAGCCTCACGATTCCTCGTGTCCCAGGTGTTCACGATTCCTCTGTTGCAGAATGTGTCTAACATTTCACCACGACCGTAGTGGGTGTTTGCAATTTTGTTGTTTCTTGTTCACAATTTTGCCGTGATTGCAGAAGTGGTATAACCAATTTTATAGTATGACAGTTATGGGTTTTTTAAGAATACGTTCCAAAGCATCCCAATTTTGGCGGCCCGTCCTTATATTATTTTGTTCCAAGCCCAGAAAATCAAAATTTTATATCCAACCCAAAGTAAAAAGTCTAGCCTAGGCTACAGACCACTAATATTATTATTCAAAAGTATCTACATATTTGCTAATCAAAGCAAATATCTTGTCAAAAGCAAAGAGTTCATTGAGTTGAAGCAATACCACGTGTTTCATTGATCACCTAAGCTTCAGCCACCAAAGAATTAATGTAGATAACTAACAAGGCACAACCGGCTCATCAAGACTGTATGAACTATGATGTTTGTTGAGCATCAATTCAAACTTAACAGTATTTTAGTTTTTGCATATATTGTAAATTTACAATTCTACACTTACATAGCTCTCTCTGCATAACTGCTAGAGATTAACAGACAATGCAAGCTATTAGAGTCTCAAATATATTTTGAACTTCTGTCTTGCTGCCTTCTTGGCTAGACGACACTGAAAAACTTGATTAAAACTCCAAATGTTAGCATAAGTCAATTTCAGAACTATTGAGATAGAACTTCTACATTGTATGAACGAAGCAAATGGATTGTACATTTTGAATAGCCAAGTACTTGGAGAGTCAAGCATTTCAGGTTACCGATTTCCTGAACCCTATAGTATGAATGAACAATGACCGAGGATTTGTTCTCAACTTTAAAAACCAACCTACTCGAACCTAACGAACTAATTGGCACCTGTCATCTCACCTTTCAACAGTCTGTACATTGTAACCGTGGAGACAATGCACCTCAACCCCTGGAGCTGTGAAGTCCAGAGTAAACTTATAAACGTCCTTCCACATCTCCCAGGCTACCTCGTACTCTATGTCCCTGAAAACAAAATTAAAACTTTAGACCATAACCGACTGATAAACTAACAGCCTAAACCATAACAACAAGAGAACAAAAGACTATAAATGTTGGGGGGCATATTTCTATCATTATATAGTAGGATTTCAACAGTTTTCTTCTACCACCACAGAACTTTGCCACACTGGGGCAACTTGGCAATATCAACAACCGTAAGTAAATGTTGCGGTCTCGGTGATAGCATGATCATTCACGATCATGGCAACACTCGCAAGCATATTTGCGGACTCGGCAATACCGCGATCGCGACTGCATTGTGTGGTATCAGCAATAATGTGATGATCTCTAGTGATCGTGATTCACTTATGGCGTTAAAAGAGAACCAATGTAATGCCAGCAATGAATTGAGACTTATTGGCTATTCTAGTTCTTAGTCCATACAGAATTCAAGTACAATTCTCGGTGCCCAGGTTGGCTCTATACCCAGATATCATCCTGTATAAATATGTTTATAATACACCTCTCTCAGCCTTTCCACGTTTTTTCCAATAAGAGAAAGTTAGCTTTACGCATGTATAGTGATTAAGCTATCTTAATACAGCTATTCCAAACTAAGTGAACCTTTGAATTGAAACAGGAAAAACAACTTTAATCCTCATTTGCCTGACCTTAAATTGGCAAATACTGTTAATATTTTAGCTACATACCTTGTAAGCTCATTGTCAATTATTCTTATCGTCATTACAATTAAATGTTTCAATCAAGTAAACTAGTAGTACATCGAAAATATTTGGTATTGTGTCATCCTGTGTTTTCTCAGTCCTACTTAAACACTTCCATTATAAAACTAATATCTTGGTAAATAATATGAAGCTGTAAAATTAATTTATATTAACTTTCTCTTGAATTTGAATAATCATAAGCCTACTGGTTTTGATAAGTATAAATATGAAAAACACATAAATATACTCATAAAAAATATGTGAGAGAGGTCAATTATTTTGATTGGTCACAGCGTTACTGACACTAAAACGTAAAGAATTTTTAGTTAGTCAAAAGGTTATATAGCGCAAAAAAATCAGCAAAAATGTTCAAACTTCTTCGCTGAGATCTTTATTAGAAAACTACCTATTTGGGGGTGGGCTACTCTTCTATACGGAAACGTTGGCGGTCCGCGTTGGCGGCCCGCCTTTCTTCCAAAAATTGTTAATGTGGCCCGTGAGTAAAAAATGTTGGAGACCCCTGACTTATTGCATTGACTTACTGGAAGAAGTCTTTCATGTCACTCCAAGTGTAATTTCTCTCATAGGTTTCCACGAGGACTTCGTTAGGTTTCCAAAATAGAGAAGAAGGTAAGAGCCAGGCCAATGATGGGGCAGTAATCTGCATGTTGCGTAAAACACTCTGACGTAGAACGTACACACCAAGATCATCTCCTGAGAAGGAATAAGAATTAACCTTGATTGGTTGGAGCTGATAGTACAGCTACACAACACAAACATCTATCTTTATCACTATTCCAATATTTGTGTTATGAGGATGCAGGCCCTTATTTTATGGCTTACTTAAAAAAGTTATTAGGTAAAAAAAAAACTTGAGAGATCCAGTCAAAAAATGTGAGATCCAGTCAAAAAATGTGTTTGCATGATGGGAATACGCCCAGTTGTTTTTTTTTCTGTATGAGGGGCAGACTCAGGGTCCTGGTATGTCAACTGAATGCCCAGTTGCTTTACCAGCCTGGAAATAATAATAAAAGAAAGACATGCTAGGGATTAAAATCTCATCTAAAGGAGTTGCCACAGATTTCAAGTCACACTTCTTCTTTGGGTAAACATGTCCCCAAAATTTGTTAAAATACTAACTCCTCCATAATTGGTCGAACACTAACTTATTCAGGGTATCTCAACACATACCGACAGCGTAGACCTTGATCGCCTTAACAGATCCTCCCCAGGCTCCTGACAGAGTGATCATCGCCCTAATGTACTGATCCTTCCACTTTTGCGACTGTTGGTGTAGAAAATACAGTGACATCGGGCCACCCATGCTGTGTGCTAACAAGACGACTGGAGTGTTGTTGTTAGTCTTGTATGTCTCTTCTACTAGAGCCTTAAGCTTCACAAAGAACTCTTGGTTCTCATCTGGAAAAATGGTTAAATTTGTGACTAAAAATACCAGAATGCATAGGCCTAGTTATCGGAAAATTAAACATTTATTATTATTTACATTTGAAGTAAAGTTAACACATTAATTATGGTGGTGGTTGCCAAGAACCTTTTACAATAGACTACTGGTGCAGTCAATTGTGTTAAAATCTGTCTTGAACAATATGTCATTCATGGTTTGAAAATTGGCCCAGCTTTCTTTGATCATTGAACTTTTAATGAAATGGTCCTGGCTAAAGAACAAATTGATCTTAGTCAGTAGCAAAGCTTTCATTAACACTCATCTCTGAGTTAAAATACGCACGTTGGTGTGACGCCAAATGTAATCAAATCAGAGCTGCAGTTTTCAACAGTTTTGTTTTTTTAGATGTTCCACAACATTTTGATGGGAGAGCATTAAGCTATGCACTCTAGCTAGATCATGTCCTCTTGTTGCCTAATAGAAGCAAATTGGTGTGTTAATTATTATGCTAAACATGCTTAAGAATGTCGAGAAGGTTTGAGTGTAAAATGAGAGGACGGGACGTTTTTCACTTGGATTAGGCTAACAGAAATTTGAAAACCAGCCACATAAAATATATGCTTTGGGAGGTTTCTTGTTGCCACTTTACAAAAATATGTTTGCATGTTTGGTGGTTTCCCATAACAAGTATTTACTTTACATTTAGTGAGACTGTGACTACTAAAAAACTATCAATTAGGTTTTTAACCTAACTACACTCCAGACTCTACTTTTGAATTACAATGCATGTTTTATCAGGCACCATACAGTGACGTCAAAGTAGTGAAACAAAACATTCCAACTTGGATTAAAGCACTTACTAGGAGCTTTGCGGAAGTCGTAAGGGGCTCCCCTGATGCTGACATTCCTCTCCCAACCGAGGCTAGTGAGAGCGTTGCCTATGTCTTTAAAGTAGCTTCCAGATGAGGCCTTGGTTGGATCAAGCCACTCCACCACAAAGGGGTCGCCCCATCCCGGAATCCTCAACTCCACACCAGGGGCATTGGAGGTGGTGCGAGTGGCATTGTCATACACCAACCTCATATTGTCAACCTACAAAATTAAGAAGTTAGGCCTACATTTGGTTGATGAATGGGTAACAAATATAAAACAAATTTTGACCTGATCTGGTGAAGTTGAAAGTTTTACTTAAAAACTTAGGCTACTGTTTGTAAATAGTATCTGACTAAAACAACAGAATAAGGATTTAATATAGTGTTGTAAATCCAACTGGTAGCCTTATTTGTACTGTTAAATTCACACACTGGATAAGATGTCAATTATTTTTATTGAATATCTAAAAAGTGAACTGCCTTGCATAATAATTTTTTCCTACAGTTACCTAACAATGTACATGTTCTCTCACTGATTTGAGAAAGCAAAGTGGCCAATTCGCTCATCAGTGAGACAATGTTAACATTGTCTCACTCTAATTACTTTGTCTCACTCCAGATTTGCAACGTGAAGGCACGAAATAGTGAGCGCGTAACATGCAGGCAACGTCGTATGCGTGCGAAATACGTTGGCAGCACTGGCTGTAAATCAGCTGGTCAGCTGTTGTACTGTTGTATTTGTCACTTCACATTAAATGTTATATTAAAAGTTCACTTCTGTGTAAAAATAGGTTATGTTTCTTCACAAATTTATTTGTTTTATGGTAACTGTAGGAAAAGTATAATGTGCAACTCGAGTTCAAAGTACAATTGCCTCACTCGAGAAACCATTCCTCACTCGCCTACGGCTCGTGAGTAAGGATTTCTCTCGAGTGAGTCAATTGCTCACTTTTCTCACTAGTTGCACAAATAACTAGTAACTAGTGTCCCTGTTGCTCGAAATCTAGCAATTGCTAATTATTACAGGCGTTATTTTAAACGAATAACAGTCATAATTTTTGATGACTTTAAAAAAGAATCGACTCTAAGATAATGGAATACTCAAGATGTATATAACAGATCAATATAATCAACATTTCTTGTAAATATCATTTTTCAAAAGCTGATCTGGTTCTTTAGTGTTTTCTACAAATAGCCTTACTCATAGCCGCTTTAGGTTGTCCAAACGATTATAAATTTAAAAAAAAACACATTATTTCTATTTCTTCTCCTTGGTGGTGTTCTATGACTTTCTTATGTTTCCATAGTTTGCAAATCGGCTCTTTCAATGATTACTAAGAAATGCAGCATAGTGTTAATTCAGTTTTTTTTTTAGTATATTTATCCAGGCTCTCTCGTTTTTTCCATTGCAATATTTACGCCAACCCAAATTCAAATTAGACTATTTCATTTCAACCGAGTAAGTTAATGTTTGTAGCTAACTAACTGTTAAATTAGCAAATTTATTGACTGTTTACAATTACCATATGTTCTTCTTCTCACTTTTAATTTCTGACAACAGCTGGAGTTTCAAAACAGTTTTTGTTTCCCATGTTAATCTTATGGAGAAATATGAACTTTTAAAGGGCCTCAATGCCTCACCCTCTAATTATTTCCAAAAAAGAAAGTTTTCTGCACAACTTCACGTTAAGCTCTTTCCAATGACACCAAGAACATGTAAATCGGTTCAGTAGTTTCGTAGGAGTAATTGTCACAAAAAACCTGCTTGCGTATTAAATAAAGTACTAGTGCACCTGTTGCTCGAATTCGAGCAATTGCAAAGTATTACAGGCTTTATTTCAAAACGAATGACAGTCATAATTTCAGATTACTTAAAAGAGTCAACTCAAAGATAATGTAATCAATGACTCCACTTCAGTTATCAAAACTGAAAACGAATCCTCTTGTGTGTATCATGGGTTAACTATAAACAGCTGTTTTAGTGTGCAATTAATACAAATTATTCGTCTGTTTAAGTAAAAAAAAATATTTTATTCAAAAAATACATTGGGATTTTGATGGCCTGTGGGGCAAAGCCCGAGGACTTTTATTACAGGAATTGGTAAAAGGGGGCGTCTACACAAAAAATACTTAATTTTGACACATTGTTTGTAAAAATCCGTCCATTATTAACGGAGGAGTAACTTAGTGTTTCGTAGAAATCGCCTTCACGTATTATATATAAGGATAGATGAACAACTAACTAGAAGAGTGTAAAAGTGTAAATGTAAACAATAAACATCTGTCATGACCATTTTTTAAAATGACATATGTTGTCAAGATAGATTCAGGTATATGACAGTCTCCCCCACTAATTAAGAACAATCTTTTACAACTGGTAGGCCTAGTCTCTATAAATTTTGACGGCATGCGATGTTCACGTTGTGGTCAGGCGTTGCAACCAGAAGATCAATCTTCAGAGAGAGGTCAAGCTGAGAATGTCATAACACCTAATAATAATTATAACCTTGAACCTAACGGTGGTCTATGTTTAAGGTTAAGTTAGATTAGAAAGATTGTTATAAACTAATTAAAATCTATTTAGAAGTTGATTTACCGGTGTGGTAGATATAATGCTAAGGCTACCTTTTTAGGCAAAGTGATACAGGTCACTTTCTAGTCGTAAGTTAGTCTGAATGATTAATTTCATGTTTCATCACATTTAGCATTTAGACAAATTGAATCTAAACACACTTAGCTAATCTGTAAATTTTGTTTAAGCCTACTCAATGAATTTCCCATGACACATTTTCCATATCAAAAAATGTAAAACTAACTTAAACCAACAAATTATTTAAGTGGATGATTTATTATTAGTGTAGGCCAAAGTTTACCTATTGACCTCTCCTACTATTCCTGCCTCTGGACCAAGGACGGAAACATAAAGTAGGCCTATGGAAGTAAGAAAGTAGATTTCATAATTTAGTTAAATTCTAAGAGAATGTTTTTTTTTCTGTGTTCACCACTGTTTAATATAAGTTAGGTACTAACCCAACAATCCATTACAATTGGCACCAGCAACTCCATATTGAGCCAAATGTTAAAGAAATCTTTTGTAGTCTTGGTGCATATATAATGAACGACTTCGGGTTTATTAAGCTTAGCATCAACTTGGCTTCCTCCGTCCCCTGGAACTAAAAAAATGTAAGATCAGATCACAGATCCATTTGTGAAATGACAACAGTAGGGACGATCTAAATATTGTGTTCACTGAAACTGTGGTTTCTCCTAGCCCATTTAGGGCCTAAGTCTTAGAGAGAAGTGGATGGACTTCCGTATCTGTTGGCACAAACAACCGAATGAAAATCTGAATTATTCGATTGTTTTATTCTATACTTACATACATAGGTATATTGTTTGGTTGGCTAGGTTAGGTTACCTAACCTTCTAACTAACCAAACGATATATCGAATAATTGATATATCAATCGATATTTTAATTCGGTTGTTTGAGCCAACAGATATGGAAGTCTATCCACAGAAAAGTTCCTGCCAACTCCTTTACATATCCAATAGGTAAGTTAGGCCTAGTCATGTACAAGTTTGGACACTGGTACCGGTACAGAAATGGTTCACAGCAGTGGCGGAACCAGAGGGGAGGCGACCGCCCTGTCACAATAACTTTGGACATAGAAATGGTATGAAAGTGCCATTTTGGAGACTTAAGTTTAGTTTACAAAAGATTTTCAGGGGGGGGGTGCCCCCGATCTCCCCAGACCCCCTGGTTGCCCCCCCCCCTTTGTGGCTGTTCTAGTTACGCCACTGTTTCCCAGTTTGTTTTTCACGGCCCTGCAAAAGAAATAGCCTAAATAAAATTTATAGGTAGGCCTCCTAAATGTGGTCCACTCCTATACACGGGAAGCTTTGGGCTCATGTACATTGATCGACCACATATTCTCAAACGATAATAACAACCTCAGGAGCGATGTCATAAAATCTTGTCTGTCCGACCACTATGCTCAATCAATTTTGATCAACACTAACTTGCCTACTGATCGTTCAGGAGCGAAATTTACGTACGCTAGGAGTTTTAATTCCACCAATATAGAGACTTTTAAACATTGCCTTCAGCTAGAGAACTGGGGAGATCTGTACGAAGCTGAGAATATTGATAGTAAGTTTAATGCTTTCAATAGTACATTAAGTTATCATTTTGACATTGCATTTCCAAAAAGAATTAAAAAGCTCGATTCAAAAAACAAAAGACGAATTTCGTTTTCAGCTGAACTTTTAAAGCTAAAAGAACAATGTATTGTATACTATGAGAAGACAAAGCACCTCAACTCTGATAACGTTCTAAGACAATACTATCTGAGATTAAAAAATGAATATAGAAAACTAATTAGAGAATTAAAGACGAAAATGGTAATTGCCGAGATTGAAGAATCAGACAGTAAAACTAAAGGTATTTGGGAAGTAATAAATGAAAACAGACCAAGAAAAAAGAAGGCAATGGATAGTATTTGTATTAAGGATGACAGTGGTGGTGTAACCATTACTAATCCCAATGAAGTGTGCAACAGATTTAACAGTTTTTTTGCTGAAGTTGGTGGCTATAACAACAAAGGTGTGAGAAATCCTCCTAACTCCTGCAATTTAAACAATAGAAATATAATATCGTCATTTTTCTTGAAACCAGTGACTGAAGAAGAAATCAAAAGCATTATCAGTGAGCTTAAGAATAAAAGATCCTCAGGAGTTGATGAAATATCTCCGAAACTACTGAAAACCGTTTCAGGTCTGATCTCATCACCACTCTGTCACATGATTAACTGCTCCTTCGTTGAGGGAAAATTCCCTTCCAATCTAAAACTGTCAATGGTAAGACCCGTTTTCAAGAAAGGGGACAAAACCAGCTGCAATAACTACAGGCCTATTAGTTTAATATCAACCTTTAGTAAAGTATTTGAGAAAGCAATGGTTAATAGATTATGGAGTTTCCTAGAGTCCCAAAACATCCTATATGAAAACCAGCACGGATTTGTAAAAAACAGATTGACAACCAGTGCCATGCTTGGTCTCATAAACAGAGTGGTGAGGGATATGGATTCACGTCAGAAAGTAGCAGGGATGTTCTTTGATTTTAGCAAAGCTTTTGACCTCGTGAACCATGATATACTGTTGAGAAAAATGAATGATCTGGGCATTAGAGGAGTAGCTCATGCTTGGTTTTCTTCGTACCTGAAAGACAGGCGACAGTTTGTTATGATACCAGCTGTAAATAAAAGTGGCTACTTGCAGAACCATTCCTCTTCAGAAGTCCCAGTCAGGAGAGGTGTGCCCCAGGGTTCCGTCTTGGGTCCGATTCTCTTCCTTATCTTCATAAATGATGTTCCATCCAGCTTGAATCTTGCAAACATATGCCTTTTTGCCGATGACACTTCTATCACCATTATTCAATCCCAGTATTCAGGCCTTAGAACAGACCCTATTTCTTGAATCCAATTGCCTGCTTCAGTGGTGTGAGGATAATGAACTAATCTTAAATGCCAACAAAACCACACTCCTTCAATTTAGCATTGCTCAGCATCGCACATCCACTGACATACATGTTCTTCTTGATGATACCACTATTTCCCCTCCCCAGATGTAAAGTTCCTTGGTTTAATTCTAGACGAGAACCTCAAATTTCACAAGCATATCGATCACGTTTCAAACAAGATACCTGTTGGGATTTTCATGCTCCGCACTCTTAAACATACTGTTTCGTGTGAGGTCCTCTTGACAGCCTACTATGGACCAGTTTATCCTTATCTGACATATGCTGTACCTGTCTGGGGGTGTGAAAGCCAAAGGACTCAGTTCATATTCAGGCTTCAAAAAAAGGCTCTCCGAACTGTTTTTTCCCTTCACCGTCGTCAATCCTGCAGAGATGTCTTCAGATCACATAAAGTTCTAACTTTCCCTTCCATTTACATTTTAGAAACATTATCATTTATCAAGAAAAACCAATCATCATATAGCTCTCCAAGTATCCATAGTTATCGTCTCCGCAACAATTTCAATCTTTCAGTACCACGACACTCAACCACTTTCTTTCAGAAAAATTTCCACTTCAATGCAGTAAAACTTTTTAATGACCTCCCTCTCCCTTTGAAAGCCGAACAGGACATCGGAAAATTCAGGAAATTAGTTAAGTCCATGTTGATAAATAAGGTCTGCTACAGCGTCCGGGAATTTCCTGGTACCGTAGTCTTTAACCTTATTAAACATAAAAGAAAACAATTTGTATATAATGTATTTAGTAGTTAATTAATTTCATAAAAATGTAATCTCTTGACTTGGCCAATGCAATGTATTGTTAATCTGGTTGAATAAAGGACTTTGACTTTGGCCTATCCGATCTTTAGGCTATTATTTTGAGTTTACGGAAAGTAAGTTAAATTCAAGCAATACTGACCTAACCTTACTAAAACTGAGTATAAACTGGTATGTCCCAGGAATGGTTTTTTTAAAGGATGCACTTTACTTTAGGTCCTACACTCATTCGAATGAAAATATCGATCGATATATTGATTAATCGATTGTTTAATTCGATATATCGTTTGGTTAGTTAGGCAAGGTTAAACTAACCTTACTAACCAAACGATATATCGAATGAAACAATTGAATAATCGATATTTTCATTCGAATGAATGAAGGACCTAAAGTAAAGTGCAGCCTTTTAAATTTAAGATAAATTACAGATAACTTAGGTACTTACTAAAAATAACTGGGTGAACTGTTCCAGGCTCAATTGCAGGGATGATAAACAACATTAAAAAAATTGAATGTGGACTAAGCATTGTTTGCCTCTTCTTGTTCCTTACCAATGCAACTTCACCACGTTAACATTAAATAATTGACCAAAGTGTAACTAATTAACTGTGTTAAACTTAACTGACTAGAAAACTGATAACTAATTTGACACACTCAAATCACTTAAGTTAACCTCTTATTCACTATGAATAGCTTCTTAGTAAGTAAACTGAACAATCGGATTTTACTGTTGGCAATGACGAACTGATGGGATGATATGACGGATAAGTTGTTATTCTAATCAAAATTAAATAATATTACGTATTTACAAGTCCTAAAATGTTAAAACACTTCACTTTGAGTTCAAATCCACGGACACAAGACAATAGGCCTAGTATAGTAAAAGTAAACAAGAAACAAAACAAGACGTCTGTCAATGTCAAAGGCCACCGAGAATGAACAGAACAGACCAATCAGATTACAGGAACTAAACGCCAGCTGTTTGACGACAGAGATCAAGAACAATCCAACAATAATTTAATTTTTGCTTTGGACCTTGATAAAAGAATCACGCGAGGGTCAATCATCGATGTCGATGGGGTCAATGAGATTGACTTCAATTTTAATCAATAGTTTATTTTACAACTGTTAATAGAAAATTTCTTGTGAAACAAAAATCTTGTGTGAAGTCATGTGAAGTATTCTACTTGTAGTATCTACTAGGCTAGGCACCCGTTTGTTTTAAAAATGTAATACCAGTCATTAAGCCTTGCTTAATTAAATTTTATGTACTTGTTGGAATTTTGTATTAGAAGATAAAGATTGCAGAGTAGCCTACTTGTACTTTGCAATCCCCTTCACGTGAACAGACCACAGTAGTACATAGATTAAAGGAGTACCTAGACACTCTTTTAATCTATGGTACTACTGTAGTACTTCAAATTCGGTGGAGTAGTCACTTTTTTGGAGGGGAGGCAAGTGGGCAACAAAGGGGCAGATGTTATATTTAGGGAGGTAAATATTGAACAGGTTGCAAGCGATTTTTTTTTTAATCGTAAGAGAAATAAACAAATCAATGGCAAATTAATTAATACATTAAAGAGGCCTCTACATGAGTGTTGATAAACATGTTGATAAGCGGTAACTCCCTTCACAGTGGCTTTGCGACTTTGTGTCGTATTTCCTGTGAACGTTGAACGTCACAAACATTTAACATACGGTATTATGTTCACACCCAAACATAAAGTGAAACAGTGTATCACACTTTCTAAAGGCACCCAAGCGTTGGGATGAACAAAAATAGAATGTTAACACTAAACAACAAGCTAAAAGTTGTAGTTAGTATCAAACGGCCACCTCAAAAACGCGGCCTTCAAAGTGGCAACATCGCAAGTAGGGTTGTAACAGTTGTTTTGTTTCGATGCGGCTAATGGTAATTTGTGTATTTTTGAAGAATACAAAAGCTTGTTTACTGGGCTATGAAAATATTTACTCTAATTTAGTGTACAAAATTGATTTTAATTCAAACATTGTTTTGGTATTCAATCCTATAGATTTTATTTTCAATCTTTTAATAAATGTATATGTTTATAAATTTAAATTTAAATTAATAATACGCGAATTAATGAGTTGGTGTCAAGTGTCTGTCATGTTATCTTATGGGATATGGCTAGCGCTAGACAACACCATTTGCAACGTTGCCGATTCTACCAGGACGCGGCCTGGAGTTAAAGGTGGCCGTGGTATCAATACTCAACTCAAAGGCTGTGAAACGCTGCTCTATAACTGATCGTTGATTGTAGTTGTAGTATCTTTAAGTGTTGCCAACTTTTTTCATGCGTACACATAATAAGTGCCTTATAAAAGCACACTTTAGTGTTGTTTGGTTGGAATACTGGAGTGCGTCAAAGGTCAAAGTAAGTAAATGTAGGAATTAGCTACTTTGCGTGCTATAATCATAGGAAGGAAAGAAGTCAGCTGCTTTGTCAGGTACAGTAACTGCAGTAACTGTAGGAAAATCCTATTTACAGACAAGAAAACCACGAAGATAAATTTATCTGTACTAAAACGACAAAACCTGTAATTGCTACTCATTACTCCAGTTCAAACGTGACTTGGCCTACCTCTTGAAAAGTGAAAAAATTATTATGGTGGCATGTAAAAAAGTTTCAATTATAAAATTTTATAAAAAAATATTGTGACACCACTAGCCTAGTTAAACAGCTAACCTCCTTGATTACTTGAAATTCACACCTAATTAATACTTTTTTTCCTAAAATACCCCAACACCCTACTGCGGTATCTAGCCGTCGGGCGTGCCTCCCATATATCTAGACGCTGGCCACTGCCATATCAATCAAGAGGGATAACCGGAAGTCGATGTTTACCCGGCGGCTTACCTAAATAAGGATATCCTTCACCGGATATTCCGCTGACGAGGATACACAGATGTGCGAAGCGCCTCTGCCGATTGTTGTGTTACTAAGGGTTTTTGTGTCCCGTTTTGGCCCACCCCTTCCGTCCAGGTCGACTGGGGAGGGGTGGCCATCCCATCCGTACTGTAGAAGTGCGTATGGTTCAGGTCCGAAAGTAATTTAAAGATTTAAGTTAGGAATCAATTCGCTCAGTTTGGACAAAGAAAACACGACATCTACAGAAAACCGGATAGAACTAACAATAAAATTGGCTTCAGCTGTTCCATAAGGATGGGAAATCTACTAAGGGACTATTTTTTGTCTATGGTTCAATCTATACAGGATCTTTTGTACGTCACTACTCACGACAAACTTCATTTGAAGTAGATTATAACATCTTTAAAAAGAGTTTGAAAAGCGCCGTACTTGTGGCCAATGAAATAAACCCACACAGCTGTAGGTGAATCACAGCTTCGAGCGGAACGGCGCTTTCCAAAGGCGTCACGGCGTCATCTGATACTAGCGTTGTAGATATAAAGTCAATGGTTGTACATAGGGATTGGGCGTGGTAGCATTAACACCATTAGTGAAGTATTTTATCAATGATAATTTACGTCATTTCCATATGTGTGACTAGTCAAATTTGACACTCCAGCTTAATACCAGCATGGTAAACCGGGTTATGTAGTTCTACAATTGCAACAAGTGCGTTTAAAAACGGAATAGTATTCTACCGTATTTACAACGATTGCGTAAAGATATTGTTAACGACACCAGTAAAGAATTTAAGGTACGAGCCTTAAAACTATTTACCCGAGTTGCGTACACTACTTTACCTACGTCAGAGTTAATTACTAAAAATCACTACTCATAACTTCTAAGAGAGGTTATGTTTTCGTTTATAACCTCTCATTGCCACTGACAGTGATGCAACGAAACATTGTACCAAACACTGATTGCACCACTCAACAATTACTGAACAGCTTATTAGTTAAAGTTCCAATTATTACAATTTTACTTTACTTCTTCTCTCTCAATCGTTGAACCTCATTGGTCCGTTACCCGTGTTGTTACGAGTAAAACTATGCTGTTATGAAAGTAAACAATGCTGGCATGAGAAACTTTTCAATTCTAAGAACTGAACTGAAACGGCTACTTAAAAAAATTGTCGTAGGTTAATAATTTTAAACTGATTTATACGAATAATGTTTGCAACAAAACTAATACATCGCAACAGTTTACTTTATTTGCCATAGACGTATAATAAAACGTATGCTTTTCATAAAGTGGAAGAAGGCATTTCTATTTCATTATAATACTGTAATACCATTGACTATACAGTATACCATAAAACGGCTATTGTATTTAGTCAATGGTAATACATTTATTCAATCACTCCGATAACCAAATGCTGTGCTTTGATTATCTAGGTTTAGTGTGAAATTACTTCTCTGTGCCAAAAAAATTGCCAAATGGCTTAGGGCTACGACTTGTCTAACTTTCCCGGATGTACAAGTTGGATGTAACAACTAAAACAATATTTAAAAAGTTGAGGGAGAGACCCATGCCGCATGTTTTTACCTCGATATAGGTGAAGGGTGTATACCTTGTGTAGCTTTGTCACTGCAAAGACAACAACACATTTCGTGAGAGTGACTCTTGCAACATCAACTAATATAATAATAAGTTATATGTATTGTACAAAGATGTTCCTTGCCGTTTGAAGATAAAATAAAATAAAACAAAATAAACTGATCCTTTGCCAGCGCCAGGACCTTTTATAAATCTAGTTAACCACCCGTGCTCCGTCACGGGAATATTGTCAGCAATAAAAGATATAATAATTAACAAATACTGTTTATCTTTGTATTTTATTTAGGGGCTGCTTATTTTTTTTACATGAAGTAGAACGGATAGTTGGTCTGTATCAACTATTTATGTTGTTAATCAAATCGATATATTAGTTTAACCAAATGAATGTTTTAAATTAATTCGAGTTACATTTGAAAATTAAATAGTGTATAAACTGCGCAATGCTGATAACATAATAAGCTACTTATGCTATGGAGATAGTTTTTTCATGTATATTCCTAAATTCGTTGTTTTTTTGTTCATTACATTCGTTGTGTGGAATAAAGATAGTCACTAAAACCAGCAGTTGGTCGCATTTTACGGATCTTTGACCCATTCTGTGAGTAACAGCTGTGTTTACATCGTATAGGCTAGGCATATATAGCCAATGCTATAATATCAAGTTGAGCATACTTTGTTTCAATGTAAGAGGGTACCTATTAACGGTCAAATCCGATGGTAAAAGGAGTCCCGGATCTTAAAATTATATAGACTTACAGAATGATGATTCATCTAAGTGAGACTTATAAACTCACCATTGCAAATGAAGAGTTGTATGATCTTATATTATTGTTAAAATATTATAGACAGACAAGACAAAAATGATAGATTTGACCAAAGATATGTATTTATTTTGACTGTTTACAAATCATAATAATCTATAAACATATGTTAGTTAAACTGTATATGAAATAAGGCAGGCATAGATTAGACATAGATTATTTATTACATTCTCTCCCCCCCAAGAACTGCGACCCCGGTAAAGATGGCGTTATACGAGTTGTGGACATCAAAACAACCAAAGGTACATTCCGGCGCCCTCTTACCAAGGTCGCAGTTCTTGGGGGGGAGAGAATGTAATAAATAATCTATGTCTAATCTATGCCTGCCTTATTTCATATACAGTTTAACTAACATATGTTTATAGATTATTATGATTTGTAAACAGTCAAAATAAATACACATCTTTGGTCAAGTCTATCATTTTTGTCTTGTCTGTCTATAATATTTTAACAGGCATAGATTAGACATAGATTATTTATTACAATTATTCAAATAGTTTTTGGACGTAGGACCTTTTATAAAATAACCAACGATCAAGGTACGGTTGAGTCAAGTTTCTAACCACGATAAATCT